AGTTTTAGTTGGGGAGGTCTGGGGAACAAGAGATGGATTTCATTCCGTGTCCTGAATTTTTTTTTCCTGATGATTGGTGACTTAAGGACAGCTTTTGGAAGATCTGCCAGGAGGCAGACTATAAACCGATCCCTTTGGAAGACTTGCCTGAAGCTATAAGCTGATTTTTGGCTTAAGAGCCATCCTAACTACTGTAAACTTTTTTGTATGGATCTTGGCCACTACCAGACCTGTCTGTGTTTCTCAAGGCAGTTTGAGAATGAGTGGGTGGAGTTAAGGTGAGTTAGGGCTAGAGTCAGTAGAAGCCACCCAAGCCCACTGCCGGCAGAAGTCAGACAGAAAAGGTTGCACATGGCAGAGGGAAAGAAAACATCAGAAATGGAAAGAGAGAAGGGTTCAGAGCTTCAGCAGAAAGTTTGGAGATAAAATAACTCTTTTATTTGCCCGTTCACTGGCAGAAGTTCCTGCGAAGCTGGTATGCGGCCAGATTTACCAGTATACGCCAATGTAAGTGGTAAATGTATCCGCCCCTTTGTCCCATGGCTGTAGCTGAGAGGAAAATAAAAAATTAAAATAACAAATGGGGATCAGACTCCAATCTCAGGCATCCCCAAGGAGAGAAGAAACATCTATGGATCAGCTCAGGTTAGCCTTCCTCTTGTCAAGGGCTGCAGTGTGTGCCGCAGGTGGTCCTCCCGGTAGACCAAGACAACATTGGTAGGTCCTCAGTGATCTCCCTGAGTCTGAACAGCCCCAATGAAGGGGTGGTGCGGCAGCGCTCGTGGCTGGCTGAGGCTATGGCTGTGGCCGAGGTTTGGTCGGTGCTGAATACCGTGGGTATATGGTGGCACTAGTGGCTGACTGCCTCCCATGGTGGCGGAAGAATCATGAGCCATGTTAGAGCTTTATTAGGAGGAAGGCGAGAGACAGACAGACAGACATACAGACAGACAGACAGAGACAGAGAGAGACAGAGAGACCTCATGGAGAGGAAGTACAGAGAGATTACGGAGAGAGAGTGCATGGGAGGGCGTGTCCGCTTTTTGGGCTGATGATGTAATAAGGACAGAATCCTTACAATGT